GATTCATATTCTTCCATTTTAAACGCTTCATACTTCTGGATCAGCGCCAGAGCCTTGGTCTCTTTAACTTATGAGTTTCCTTCGTGTGTCATCTTCAAAGACTCAAACAAATAAAATGCAGTTTCTCTGTTGGTGATCTTCTCATACTCAGTATGAGATATTGCATTTAATAAGATTGTTCTAGCTTTGTGATAATTTCTGAACTCCTTCTTTTGGGCTTCAGTCATAGATTTTCTATCAATTTTCTTGCCATCCCCATCAGTGGGGTGAACATACCCATCAACGACTAAGTCCCATAGACCAGCATCATAACCAAGGAAGAAACTCTCTATTCTGTCCTTCCAATAGTCAAACTTCTCCCCAACAAACATAGGGGGTTTTGTGTTGATTCTATCCCTTTCTTCATATCTGTTGTTGCTGTTAGATGTTGAAGTTTCAGCCATAATAACAACCAAGAATATATATCAAAGTTTTCTCACTGGATCTTTTCTGTTCACGGTGAAGTGATAACACACACAGAACCGGAGCTCTGATGCCAACTGAAGGTGAGAAAATACTTAAGGGGGGGGGGGGGTTGAATAAGTATATAGAAAATATTATGGCAATAAAAACACAAAGATTTTTATCCTGGTTCGTTGAACTCAACTACTCCAGTCCACCCTGTCAAGAGTGATTTGCCTTTCTCCACAAGGACTTAATCCACTATTAATCAAACTGATTACAATAGCAACCACTAAGAGCATATGTTCTTAGTCTTCTCAAGAACTATTGACCATAACTGGGTCTTTTCAAGGAACTTTTACAATCAAATGTAAAACTAAACAAGTGTTTGAATGCTTCTAAGTAAGTTGTATCACAACTGTGATTTACACTTAAGTTTAAGTACTTATGAAATAAATTTAGCAAAGAGAATAATTTGTATAAGAGATTTTCAATGAATTTCTTTCAAATAAATTGTCAACTTGAGAAATATGTTGAAGTCTTGCTTTTATAGGCACAGAAGTCCAAGACATTTGCATTTTGAAGACCGTGTCTGCAAAGTAGCTGTAACCTTTTTGTCTTCACATCACTTGACCTTTCCTAGAAGAAGAACGTTCAGAGAAATCCTTTTTGTCTGTGTTCTTGTGTCTAGCATAAATGAGGAAAGAGTCGTTTGGCATAACGAACGAATATATCTTCAAATAATCTTCTTCAACAAGTTTCTAATTCACAATAATTAACATCAGAGCCTTGAGTGATCAGAGTCTTGATGTCTTCAGAGTTTGTTGTATCAGAGTGTTGCAGCAAGTGTGCTTTAGCGTGAGATTTCATTAGAGCAAAGTCTAGGAATCAGATCCTCAGTACTTGCAGCGTAGTACTATCAGAGTCTTCTGAAAAACTATGCTTGAAACTCTTCATACAAAGTCTTCAGTCAATGCTTCAGATGCTTTTGTAGCTTCTGCTTCAGATCCATCTGTAGGCAGCGCTCAGAGTCTTCTAAGAGATGCTTCTGACGCTTCAGAGCCTTGCATAGTTCAACGTTCAGATCCATTTTTGCTTTCAGAAGAATATTAAATTTAATATATGCAGCAAAAATACTTGAACAAAATTTAGAGTATATAATTTCTTAATACAAAATTTCGTAAGTGTTATCATTAAAACATAGAGATATAACTAAGAACCAATTTGTGTTCTAACATATATGTGGAACAACCTAAAGGGTTTGATGATCCTACCCTTCCAAATCATGTATATAAATTAAGGAAAGCCCTTTATAGATTGAAGCAAGCTCCTAGAGCTTGGTATGAGAGATTGACTGAGTTTCTCAATAGTAATGGATATCAGAAAGGAGGGATAGACAAGGCCCTATTTGTGAAGGATGAAGATGGAAAAATCATGATTGCTCAAATCTATATGGATGACATAGTTTTTGGTGGGATGTCAGATAAGATGGTTAAACATTTTGTCAATCAAATGCAATCTGAGTTTGAGATGAGCCTTGTTGGAGAATTAACATACTTTCTTGGGCTGCAAGTCAAGCAAATGGAAGATTTCATTTTTCTCTCCTAAAGTAAATATGCCAAGAACATAGTCAAAAAATTTGGCATGGATAATGCTGGTCACAAAAGAACACCTGCACCCACACATTTGACGTTATCTAAAGATTAAAGTGGTACTAGTGTTGATCAAAGCCTGTATGGAAGCATGATTGGAAGCTTGCTATATCTAACAACTAGTAGACCTGATATTGCCTTTGCAGTTGGTGTGTGCGCAAGATATCAAGCAGATCCCAAAGTGAGTCACATAAATCAAGTCAAGAGGATTCTCAAATATGTGAATGGAACTTGTGATTATAGTATGCTGTATTCTCATGGGTGTGACCTTATTCTATCTGGGTATTGTGATGCTGATTGGGCTGGGAGTGCTGATGACAAAAAAAGCACATCTGGTGGATGTTTCTTCTTAGGGAACAACCTCATATCATGGTTCAGCAAGAAGCAAAATTGTGTCTCCTTATCCATTGCTGAAGCTGAATACATAGCAGCTGGTAGCAGCTGTTCCCAACTGGTCCGCATGAAGCAAATGTTAACTGAATACAATGTCACTCAGGATGTCATGACATTATACTGTGACAATATTAGTGCCATCAATATTTCTAAGAACCCAATTCAGCATAGCAGAACCAAGCATATTGATATCAGACATCACTTCATAAGAGATCTTGTGGAAGACAAAGTGATTACCATGGAGCATGTGGCCACTGAACTACAACTTGCTGACATTTTTACCAAAGCTCTAGATGCTACTCAATTTGAGAATTTAAGAAGCAAGTTGGGAATTTGCATTTATGAGGACTTATAACAATTACTGTCAAGAGGGGGGTTTTGAGTGTAAAATAAGTTTTATTGGTTAAAACACGTTTCAACCTCCGACTTTAATGCATCTCACGCCATTGACCACTAAAGTTCTTTATCCCACACAAACTTTTTATCTCACTACACCAACAATTCCTCCATCCCCCTACTCTTCAGAATACCTCTCATTCCTTCAATTTTCCTCTTTCAACAAAATGGCTACCAAACGAGATGCTTCTGATGCTACATCTTCTCAAGCTGACAAATCCAAACAACACTCCACAGGTAAATCGTCTGATCCCTCTGCCGACAACATTACTAGAATGTTGAACAAGGAAGGCTCTGCATATGTTGACAGATCCATCAGGGAACTTGTCACTAAGATTCTCCAGAAAGGTCGTATTGTGCATGGTATTTCCATCCCTCTTGCTCACATTGATCCATTCCCCCGTTCTAATAATGTTAATGGACAAAATAGTGAGGTTGTGTCAGAGGAAGAATCTGAAGAATCTGAAGCTGTTTCAACTGATGTTGAGGAGGTTGACTCAAGTTCTTCTGAGGATGAAGATTAAGGTGTATGCTTTGGTGGCCTGCTGTTGGTTTAGCTAGTTGTTTTTTTTCTCTTGGGTTGTAATATTGGGGTTTCCATACAGGCTTAAATAAAGAGTGCAAACTGGTTGTTTGACTCTGAATTCACACTGCTTATAGTGGATTTCCTCCCTGACTTGATAGCTCACAGAGTAGGTGTGATTTGCACCGAACTGGGCAAACAATTTCCTGTGTTCTTTACTGCTTTCATTACTTGTTTACTGCTAAGCTTAATAATCTGTTCAGAAGCAGATGTCATAACATCCGACATAACATCGACTGTCTGTTACTAAAATTTCAGATATAAAATTGTGTGATTAACCAACTTTATCATTTCATTAACCAACATTTTACATATCATTGACCAATTTTGTTTTACTACTAAAAATTATTTTTAATATTTGTGCGTTTATTAACCAACTTCATTATTTCATTAATCAACATTTTATTTTTTATTAACCAACTTTGTTTTACTACTAAATTATTTTGAATATCTTGACGTTTATTAATCAATTTTATCACTTTATTAACCAATTTTTTACATTTTATTAACCAAATTTATTTTATTATAAAAATTTATTGTACATATACTATGCACATACACTGTTTACGTACACATATTACTGTTCATTTGAAATAATGTATACATTATTCACATTACTGTTTATACTCTGATGAGCTATGCTATCTTAACACTATTTTTCTTACACCGAATCTTACACCATAAATATTAACAAAGGAAAATAGTATTGCACATAAATCAAGGAATGAAAAATTATTTAAAAAATATAATTTATACATTGAAAATATAGATATACAATGTTGGTGTATAAAAGAGATGCAAACTTATTTGTAAAAAATACATAATATATAATATTGATATAAAATATAGCATTGCTGAATAAAATGTGTCGTTAAATTATGAAGACTCTTGTAATTTTATGATTAGGAAGACTCTTGTAATTTTTACGCCCAAAAAGGCAAAAATCTAAATACAACTTGGTTCTAAGAAACCTATTTTAAATATTGTATTTTTAGACTTTATTTAATAAATTATTAGGTATTTTTTATTGAGAAAAGACATTGCTCCTATTACTAAGTCACGCCGGCACGTGCACCAGTAGCACTACGAACCCACATACAATAAAAATCCTCATTTTGAAAACACGGGATGCGGCTATGCGCACTATACTTCCGGCTTATTTTATCCCTTACCTCATTACACAAAATCAGCTTTTATTATTACCATCATTAATAGAGTTTACTGTGCAGTATTCCTCACACTCTCTGCTAAAACAAGTCACAATCACTCACTAGTCACTATTTTAGCTTAAATCCGCATAATCTCTTCACAACACAAAGAGCAAAATCACTTCACTTTTTTATTCATTATTAATCCAGAGAGAGAAACAAAAAGGACAAAAACAAATTCAAGAAAGAAAAAAATAGAAACAAACAAAGCGATTCTGAGTTTTCTTTCTCTCTCTAAATCCACCACTTTCAAATTCACATTCTGTAAGCGTGTGACTGTGATTTCAAATAGTGAGGGTTTTGGTTCGGCACTGTTTAGATCGGAGAATGGAGGAAATTTTCGGTGACGGAGGAGGAGTTGCGACGCCGGTGCCGCTTTCGGTGTCGGGATCGTTTAGAGAAGGGAGAGGCTCGTCGAGGAGACGTGGCTCGGCCAGACAGCCGAGCATGGAGGCGGATGAGTTCATGAGTTTGTTGCACGGTTCGGATCCGGTGAAGGTGGAACTTAATCGTCTTGAGAATGAAGTTCGAGGTGTGGAAATGAAAATGCTGCTCGATCTGAAGAGTTTTTGACCTGATTTTTTTGTTGTTGTAGTTTTTGAAAATTTAATTTAATTTTGAATTTGTGTTTTTTTGTTGTTGCAGATAAAGATAGAGAATTATCAGAAGCACAAGCTGAGATTAAAGCGTTGAGGCATTCTGAACGACTTAGAGAAAAGGCAGTTGAAGAGGTCACCTCTAATTTCTGAATTGTTGTTATTTTTGGTGTCATTGTTGTTTTTATTGTTCTATTCAATTCAAGTTTGTTACTATGGGTTATTCATTTGCTTATTATGTTATGCTATTTTATTCATTACTAGTAATTGCTAATTTAATTTACATGTTGGTCATGGTTTGGGAGGAATTGAGTAAGTAAATATGATACTATTATTTGATTTCATATTTGGTTCATATTATTGGTGCGGTTATGTGTATAATCTTTGAAGTTGCAGTAGAAAAGTGGAATGAATATTTTCCATGTGAGGAGGGAGGGTATTGCATAGGAGGAGAAGCTCCTTTTTGCCGTTTGCATTGATAATGCCTTACACATTTTTGCGCAGTTTCTCTATAAGTTTCTCTTTTTTCTTTTGAAAGAAACCGTCTCGGTGAAATTTGATACTCTCAGTTTAAAGTCATTGTGAATTGTTACATAGTCTTTGTTTGGTTGACTCGACTATATAAAGAAAATTGTCCAGTAATATTTTTTTTTTAAAGTAAAGGCATGCTCAGATAATTGATATGCCAAAGGTTGAGATGTTGTAATGCATAAATAGTATGAAAGTAATTTACTTTTCTTTTTTAATTTGATACTGTACTCCATATTTTTTAATTAGTGCTCTTTGGAAAAACATTTATTTTATTACTCCCTCATTTTCTTTTTATATTCAGCTTTATTTAACTTTTTCTATTTTGTTTTATCACCAGTTTAAAGAACAAAGTCCTATGAAGCATTGACTAAACTTTTCTATCAACACACATAATATTGTTAAGTGAAAGAGAACATTATTAGAGTGATATTAATATTGGGTAATTAAATTATTCGGTAAAGTTGGGACATGAAAGATGAGGTCTGGGAGCACATTACCTTTCCTTAAGGTAAACTAAAAGAGAGTATAGGGAATGCAAGTTTAGCTAGAGACACACAAGTCCATAGTTTAGAGGCGAAAATTGGAGAGCGTATCATCCTACCACAAGTCTCTCTGTTTTAAGCACCTTTTGTCCGTTATACATTATGATAGAGATATATACCACAAGTCTCTCGTTTTAAGTACCTTTTGTCCATCATACATAATGATATAGAGAGACATACCACAAGTATCTCTGTTTTAACTAAAGTACCTTTTGTGCACTATACATAATGATAGAGAGATATAACAATATGTAAACCATAAGATACAAGCAGGGCTGAAAAAAGATGAAGAAATGAAAAGCTTTAATATATGGCAGGATAGCACTACTCCAATTTAAAAGAAAAACTTACCGGCTTACTCGACAACTATAAAACCACGTAATTATGATTTGTTGAATGTTAAGCGCTAAAGAGCTAAGGTAGTAAGCTTGATGCTGTTGAGATGAGAATGTTATGATGGATGAATGAGATCATTAAAGTGAAAGTTGGGATAACTTATATACTCTAAAAAAGATGGCTGAGTTTTATTTTTGGTGGTTTGGGCATGTGTAGTGCAGACTTGGAAAAGCACTAGCAAGGAGGACGGGTATACCACATGTAGGATAGTACAATAATAAGAGTAGAGAAAAAACATGAAAAACTACAAAAAAAAATCTCTGGAAGAGATTAGATTTAAATGATCTATCATTGGACTTGATTCATGACAGACATTATGGTGTTGTTTGATCTAAATAGTTGACTTCATCTTGTTCGAAAAGACTTGGGTTTTTTTGTCTTTCCCTACTAATTTGTTAGACTCCTTAATTTTGTTTTATTTTTATTAGTTTTTGAGGATACTTTATCCTTATACTGTTTTGTTTTTTAATATGGCATTCTGTATGTTCACTCATAATTCGTGATAGGTACCATAATTTTTTTTGAGAGATATGAAGTATAGCTCCTAAGAATATCTAAACAACTACAAAGAAAAATCGAAAAAACCTGCAAACTTAGAGGGTCTGCATCCTCCCTAGTTAAAGCCAATAAATTGTTTGCCCTTCTCTCCTTTGTCCCCCTTTATACAACACTCCCATATTTTCATTCTTACTAACCTGCCATGTGGCCAGTTTGTTGCAAATTTCACCCCGCCTTCTCACCTTCTCTACTTCGTCTAGATAAGGGGATATTTCCTTTAATGGTTTTGTTGTCTATTATATTACATGTGAAGTCTTGAAATGCAGTATTTTTGTTGTCTAATAATGATTACTTCTTTATATGCTTTATTAGTCCTTTAAAAAAATTCGAGATGGGAAAATTGTTATTAATAATAGTGGTACTATTAACCATTTTACTACTGTCCCATATGGGATTTGAACTTGAAGTTACAAAGTCAGGCTCTTACCTGGACTGACACCTCATGGACTTTATACTTAATCCTAAATATATTGGGAAATCAGGAAACAAATCACAATAATATCTAAGTTATATGGAAACTGATCCTAAGAAATAGTCTATGATACTCTAAGATCATAAAACGATATTAGGAAATAAACTTAGGCACTCTGATATATTAAAAGTTATATTATAAAATACTCCCTCAGGTCCTTATTTTATAACAAACATAATCCTATTTCACTGAGGCCAAAAAAACATCTTGAAGTTACATAGTCGATTTCGGAATAATCATCGATTTCCAAAACTAGACAAGTAAAACTTAGCCACTAGACATAAGCATCAACTATAGGCTTAACCATTTGGTAGAAGCAAGAACGTTAGCCATTAAGGTGAGCACTTATCCATTAAGCAGAAGCCACAAATCCATGCTTAACAATCTAACAGAAGTAAATATACTTACCACCGTATAAGGTTGAAGCTACCAAAGGTTAACCATCAAGAATAAATGGTAAAAGATGAACCTTACACACTCAAGGCAGAAACAGTAATATCACACAGCTTAACCATCAACCAGAAGCCATAGCTTCAAGGCTTAACCACTTAACAAAAACAAATATGCTTAAGAAGCACTAACTACATAAGAGACAGAAGCTACCAAAGATGAACCATTAAGAACAGAAGCTAAAACATGTGGCTGAACCACCCAAGATAAAAGCAAAAAACAAATAAAAAATCATTGTTGAATCGCCACAAACATTCCAAAACCAGCAAACCAGAATGTGTTATAACAGCAACTTACAACCATAAATTAGTTGCTAAACCAAAATCAGAATTTTCACCGACCGTTGATTTCAACCCCAAATTAGTTCCCAATTTAGCAGCAACAAATATAGGTGTCAAAAGACAGATCACGTCAACAACAGAGACACCAAAGCAGAGCAGCAGAGATACCGACAAACGATGTCAAGTGCAGCAACAACTCAAGAACACAGAATAATGACAGAGGCAAGTCACAAAGGATTGGATCAGACTCTAGGTACCATGTTGAAGTATGTGTTTTAGATAAAACAAAAAGGAGAAAAATAACGAGGGCTTGGATAGTATAATTTATTGACAATAACTTAATAGAAAAGACTAAACACCAACCCTATATATAGCGATATAAGACTCCTACTTCTAAATTAATAGGGAAGTCAGGAAACAAATCAAAATAATATCTAAGTAACATGGCAACTAATACTAAGAAATAATCTAAGGTAATTTAGTTTTTAAGATTATAAAATGATCTTAGAAAATAAACTAAGGCACTCTGATATAATATCAAATATGTTATGAAATACATTCTTACAAATCATTCCTTGCATTATTTTATATCCGTTTATTTGACATTATGCTTTTGCCTCTATTATGTGCTAAATTACTCATGTTATATCAATTTTTGCAATTTCTTCATTGTTTTGTTGAATGCTTTGTGTCAACTTGAAATGTATCTTATCTTACTTTTTGTTTGTATTTTAGCTGTCTGAAGAGCTGTCAAAGGTTGATGGGAAGCTAAAGTTATCAGAATCTTTATTAGAAAGCAGAGTATTGCTCTGAACCTTTATCAACTTCAATAATTATTTGTTTTCCTAGTTTGCGTGATTCTAAACTAAATTGAATATTTCTGACAGAATCTTGAAATAAAGAAAATCAATGACGAAAAAAAAGCATCAATGGCAGCTCAGTTTGCAGCAGAAGCTACTCTTCGAAGGGTTCATGCTGCTCAAAAGGACGATGACATGCCTCCGATAGAAGCAATTCTTGCCCCTTTGGAGGCTGAATTAAAGCTTGCTCGGCAAGAGGTATTTCCTTGTTCTCGGAAGTTATATTCCAATACCTTGAAAGAAAGAAAGAATTATTCGAGGGGCCGAATCTGGCCTATAACTAATGATTTTTGGCTTTATTCTCTTCTGTACATTCTCTACAGATTGCTAAACTACAAGATGACAACAGAGCTTTAGACCGTCTTACCAAATCCAAAGAAGCTGCACTACTTGAAGCTGAAAGGACTGTTCAGTTTGCCTTGGCTAAGGCCTCCATGGTGGATGATCTCCAAAACAAAAATCAAGAGCTGATGAAACAGATTGAGATTTGCCAGGTATCATAATCTTGGATGATTTTTATTATTTCCCAGTACACTAGAACTGTAAATATGCAACTTTTAATGGTGACTTCATCATCACTTCTCTCAGGAAGAAAACAAAATTTTGGACAGAATGCATAGACAAAAGGTGGCAGAGGTTGAAAAGCTCACCCAAACTGTGAGGGAACTAGAAGAGTCGGTCCTTGCCGGTGGTGCAGCAGCAAATGCAGTGAGAGATTATCAGCGGAAAGTTCAAGAAATGAATGTAATTTATTTAAGTCTTCAGCTAGTTCGATCCCACGGCTGCTTTATTGATTATAGCATTAACTTTTACATGATTTGTTTCACATTCTTTAGGAAGAAAGAAAAACTCTTAATAGGGAATTGGGCCGTGCCAAGGTAACAGCAAACAGAGTAGCTGTTGTGGTTGCAAATGAATGGAAAGATGCTAATGATAAAGTCATGCCTGTTAAACAATGGCTTGAAGAACGACGATTCTTGCAGGTTTAATTTTACTTTGCTTATTTGTCTTTAGTGGCTGTGTGGAGCTTTTATTACTTTTTCATGTCTTCCTAGGTTCTTCGATATAAATTTCCCTGCATTTGTCTTCACTTTAATACAGTTTACACTTATTACTGTACTGCATTCTTGTAGGGGGAAATGCAGCAACTCCGTGATAAGCTTGCTATAGCTGAGCGCACTTCAAAATCTGAAGCACAGTTGAAAGTAATAATCCGGTTCCTATCTGTTAACCTAGGAAACTAGCTCTTAGATTATTCAAGGAAATATTTTTTACAATTTTCAGGAAAAATATCAATTACGGCTTAAAGTGCTTGAGGAGAGTTTGAGGGGCAATTCTAGCGGCAGTAGTCGCAGCACTATAGAGGGAAGAAGTATAAACAATGGTTATTCTCGTCGCCAATCACTAGGTGGAGCTGATAATATCTCAAAACTAACCTCTAATGGATTCTTGCCTAAGAGAGCACCATCTCCTCAACTCAGGTCATCATCTCTATCATCTAGCTCAATATTGAGGCATGCTAAAGGAACATCTAAATCTTTTGATGGTGGCTCAAGGACACTTGATGGTGGCTCAAGGACACTGGACAGGAGTAAAACGTTGCTGAGTGCAGCACCTCAAAGTTACTCATTCAACCAATCTCTCGAAGAAACCAAAGAAAGAGAGGCTGATGATAATTGGAAAGGAAGTTCAGGTGATAAGCCTAATGACTTCCCACCAGGGGATACGGATGATAGTATTCCAAGTGTTTTATACGACCTCTTGCAGAAAGAAGTTATTGCCTTGAGGAAAGCTGGTCACGAGAAAGATCAAAGCCTAAAAGATAAAGATGATGCCATTGAGGTTAGTGTTTAGTTTATTATTCGTGTTTTTGGAAATTAATTGCTGACATTTTACTTATAAATGATAATTGCTAATCGTTTGCAATTGTTATTATCTGTCAGATGTTAGCAAAGAAAGTAGATACGTTGACCAAAGCTATGGAAGTTGAAGCAAAGAAGATGAGAAGAGAAGTAGCTGCCATGGAAAAGGAGGTAGCTGCTATGCGTGTCGAGAAAGTACAAGAGAACAGAGCAAAGCGGTTCAGCAATATAAAGGGTCCTGTAAACAGTGCTCAAAATCAGCTAATTTCTGGAAGGTAAAATTATCAATATGTAGTTATTGGCATATTACTCATTTGGAATCTATACTCAGCAGTATGTATACTAATGCATTTTTCTTTCTTTCATTTTCCCTTTACTTTTTTTTTTTTTTTCCGTTCTGTTTTTCCCCCTTGTAATTGAATCTTCAATTTATACTTGGACAGAAATGTGACACGGGGAGGATTAACACGCAGCACCCAATAACAAGTTTATTATGGCGACACTTGGGAGTATATTAAGTAAAGTTTCATAGACATCATTCTTCCGCCCTTCTCCGTATTTATCCTTTTGTTTTCCTTGTTCAATTGATTACAAGATTGTATCTGGCACGCCGAAAACCAGTTTCTGATGTTGCCCATGGATCAGGAACAAGAAAACAATTTTAGCAATTGATATGCATCTGACCTAGACTGCTTCATCCTTGCTTAGAGAGTTCGGCTAAGAAGGAAGACAACGGAAGACAATTAACCGGGTTTAACCTTTCAGCTTTTCTTTGAGTGGTTGTGTGTTTGTATAGGTAGCTTTCTTCCTTAACTCCTTTTTGCAGTTTTTATCTGCAATACATAGATATTGTGATTGCATTGATTCAGGCTTCTTAATATCTTTGTAATTAGATCAAAATCTAAGTGAATCCGGCTGTTTTATAACTTACAAATTCATAATTTCATATTGATTGTCTCTAGGTACCAAGTTTATTTTGGTCGTGAGTGTTGGGAACTTGTCCTTTTAGTAACAACACAATTTCTTAGAACATAGCAAATTCTGTTTTATCCTCGGAATGTTTTGCTTGGGTATTTTTTTACGGGAATTTCTTATCCCTGGTATCTTTTTTTATGGAAATTTCTTATCCCTACTTATGTGGTTAGAAAAATACCCTAAAGAATTTTGGAAATGTCCTTTAGAATTTGAAAGTGCATTTTCCCTACCATTTTCACACCAAAACATGTCTTTAAGTGAGACTTATTTTCCCCTCAAAACATGTTGAAATATTTTGAAGATACATTTCTATAACGTATTAAAATTTGATCTTCTATGTTATATTTTGTTTATCTGTATTCAGATGAAGAGTTAAACCATACTATACAATCGAAAATAAAAAATAAACGTACATAATTTTAGAAGGTTCAAAAATGCCATATATAAATAAAATATTAGATAAATGTCAAAAACGACATACAGTCGAGATCAATACAGTAACATGATGTCAAAATAAAATACATACCATAGTGCTACTACTATATGTGTATGTTTAACTACCTCTCCTTGCCCTCCTCTGCCTCGTTTACCTCCTCAGCCATCAATCTCCCTGTTCTCTGGCGTTGTCTCTGGTACAATAATGTCTCCAATGCCTCCACCATGATGACATCTAGGATCTGCCTCTCACAGCAGACTCATCAGGGAAGATACCTCTGTCAATGCTTGTCTGCACAATCTCCAATATGCGGCATTTAGGCAAGACATCCTCAACATGATATAACTGTGCTTGCTCCTCCTCTAATATCTTCTGATGAGTTGGTCTCGACGGATCTCCTGAAGCAGCATGCACCATGTACGGATGTGACACCTGAAGAACCATCTGATGTACCCTTCGACATAACTTCAATCACTCTCAGCCATGGTACTTCGTGCCTCCCTTGGTACTAGATGACTCTCATAATCTTCAAACATGTCATCTATCTATCTGTGTCAAGGCAGGAGGAGCAAAGATAACAAGGTGTCTAAGAATGGTCTGAGTGTAGCCGAACTGCCGCATGACATGCTCAAGCAGATGAGGAGCAGTGAGACGCGATCCGTAGGTCAACTATTCATAATATATCACTATCTCGTCGAATGGTTGCGTCTCACGGCGATCAACATAGCTGTTGAATTGCATGTCCTCAGCAACCAAACGGTCAAGATAGACTCTATAAGGCTCACTCGTCTGGTTCCCTCTTAGGGGCGAAAAAGCAGTAACGCACGACATATCCTCAATGTAAGACGGTATACTCACCCAATCAGAGATGCGCAAGAATTTCTGAAGGATCCAAGTCTGAAATGAAAAATTTGGAGCACACGAATCATTAGTAATGACTTTGCAAAGATGAAATGAAAATGACTAAGAAATATTCAAAGACCAATAATTATTACTGTTAATAGTGTGACGTTGCCTGTGACCTGCTTCGTCTTTCACATACAACCCTCTTTCAACTTCGAGTACAGGTAGACCAAACAAGCTCCCCCCAATTGTACTCATGGATCTGCTCGAAGTCCACGAAGTACCGTAGGTAGACGACGTCTGTATAAGTGACACTCTTGTCCACAAAAATCAGAGTGCCAACTAAATAAAGTAGGCGAGCTCTCATAACATGCGATCTTTGGAGCGCCACATCCTCATCATCACCTTCAACCTGCTGTGCTCTCAAGATCTCAACCTCATATATCTTCTTCAAGTATTCAAATCTAGCACGAGCACCCCTGGTCTTATCCAATTCTTCCTTCGCCTCCCTTGGATCAACCTCCAGATAGTCTACCGTCATCTAGAGTGCCTCGTCTCTGGTAATCCTTCCATGATATAGGAATCTCCCCCTGATCGGAAGATGTAGCAAACACGAGACATCATCGAGTATGATAGACATCTCACCATGCGAGAGATGAAACGACGAGGTCTTCGAGTGTCATCTCCCCATGAATGCGTTAAGCATCCCGTGGTTGACCATAGTATAATCAGTCATACACAACTCCTTTAGGCCAGATAAGGACAAAATTGCATGAAATCAATCCTCATTCGGTTGAGGCAAGCCAGCGACCTTCACTCGTGGTTAATAAACTTCTGCCGATCATGCTCTTGGAAAAAATAATAATCAATGTTAGAAATTTTTCAATTAAAATTAACGTAAAAAAATAATGAATCCAACTAATGCTACCTCTCTATTCCAAATATGTTTGGCAGTATGGTCTGGATACAGAAGTAGTAATGACAAATCAACTGGGTCTTTTTCAAATGCCTCTGGCTTAGCATCCGCAGCAGCCTCACCATTCGAAGGTGGTACTGGATCAACAACATCAACAATAGAAGCTGGGATTGGATCAGTAGCATCTACAATAAGAGGTGACATTGGTGAAACCTGACGCCTGCGGGAGGATGGAAGGAGTGATGCGGAAGATGGTAAGTCACGTATCCTACGTGAAGAAGAAGATGAAATGGCATGAAGAGAAACACAAGCCCCATAAGTAGACGGCTCTGCCTGACCTATGGGACCAGGAGTCTCCAAATCCTGCTGGCTCTTCTCTCGCCGCACTAATGCGTATTGAGCAACCCTCCTGTGCCTTAGTGTATCGTTTGTATCAACTATTATGCCTGTAAGTTAAAGTAAAGCAGATAATTAGTGCAGACAAACAACACCAAAACAAGAAAATAAAAAATACTGCAGAAAATTGTGAAGATGCATCTCCAGAATTTGGGAAACTAAAACGTTGAAAAAATCCGGAGATGCATTTTCGGAATTTTTCACAACTCAAAAGTTGCGTCAATGGCGTTAATGTTAGTTTTTTTTAATGTCATTATCCTTCCTCGCCTTGGTAAAGTAGCTAATACCAGTCTCGATCTCCTCTAGGGCTAAATATAAGTAAATTAGCCCTTCTATCCCGAATTGCTAGTCTTACTCTTTTACCTTCTTATCTGATTTCACTAGTCTCAGGGACATCTCTTTACATCCGACCATTCCTTCTTACCTTTTTAATTAACTCCTAATGCCGAGATAAGACATTGGTATGTTTTATTTGGTTTTTCCTGCAAGGGTTTAAGAAGAAGTAAGGAAAGCACAACTTTGGCTTTCCCGGGATCTCTCCTTGGCTTACTGGACTTCCTGCTTTACTTCTTTACCGAATTACCCGATTGCTAGCACAGGAAAGAGGGAGAGAAAGAGTGTAATAAATTTCAAACCTGATTCCCCGCACGCAACAAGCTTTAAACCGAATTCCTTCCTTACAGCAGTAGCTGTGCAGTGGGAATAGTCGCCAAATAGACTGAATTAGATGCAATCTCAAAAAACATGTTTTGATCATCATTTTTCAGTCAACAAACATCTATACACTATGTCTAAACTATCTTAAATGCTATTTCTACTAATTTATAACTCTGATCATTGATTTTCTCATTTATACAAAAACTAAAACATTTATCGAAAACTCAAAAAACTTACAAGAAATTGATGTTTCAGATGTTGTTTATGATGTTAGAGATGATGGTTGAAGTTCTGTTAAGCCTTGTTGATTGAGTTTTGAGTTGGTGTAGAGAAAAATTTGAGAGAGTTTGAAGTTGAGTTTGAGTAAAATGAGAAATGAGGAAGGAGAAGGATCTGACACAATATAACATCCAAAGTATTCCGCAAATGCATCTTTGAAATATTTTAACGTTAATTGATTTTTTAGTGTGTCCGAAGATGCATCTTCAGAATTAAGAGACATTTATGTATTGTTGTGTGGTGGCTAAGAAACTTATGGGATGCATTAAGAAATCCTCTTTTATTTTCATGTTAAGCCAAAGTTTAGTTTTTATTTTCACTTTCTACTAGCTACATGCATGTGTGATTTGAATTTAAAATGAAATAAACAAGAGAGACTGCAACAAAAGAAAATGTATATATGTAGCCGTGCCTCCGAGTAGAACACACTAAAACATTCTAATTGAGAAGAAAGACACATAAAATAGTGCATAATTTTTTTTTATTAGTTTAATTTCAAAAATATGCGGAGTATATTTTCAAAATTATTCTTAAAATATATTTCTAGACTATTTTTGTTTTGACAAAATGAACGTGTGATTCCCTTACGCATGAATTTAGTATGTTTAATGTGAGTTTGAACATGCATTTTTGAGCTTTTGAATTATTTATGATTTGTTTATTAGAGTTAGAAAGCAATGTTTAGGATGGAAGAAACAAGTTTTTTTACATCTAAGCCCGTACAATTTTTACATTTGAAAGAATAATTTGTATCACACTTGTAAATAATAATTAAAAAAAAGAAAGAAAAGAAGTAAGAAGTAAAATACCAATATTTAAGAAATGAAGTAATAAGTAAAATACCAATATTTATTCTAGTTCGACTAAGCGTCCTCCCTTATAATCTAAATAAAAATAAGATATTTTTTAGGGAATACTTATTCCACCTTTTGGATTGTGTCCTACACTTCTGAAAATCTAAAAATATTTTTACTATTGTTC